CCAGAAGGATTTAATATATTGTCATATTGGCCAACCCGAAAACAACCAAAGTGAAGACTACTAAAGTAACGACCAAGACACGAATCCCATGCATTAGATGCGGGAAGTCATATTTGTGCCTAGGAAGCCTGAAAAGACACGCAAGTAACGCCCACGGGCCAGAACAAACATGGTACAAATGTAAAATCTCCAAAAGATCCTTTGGAAGAAGGAAAGTTATCTTCGTCATCTACAACAACAGCATCCAGGATATACCTTGGAACTAGAGGTCACCAGGGATACTACCAAGCAGGACGCACAAAGACCAGGAAACAAACGCCCATTCAAGGTGATGACAAAAATTCAACTGGACCAAGTCAAATTCCAAGTTAAATCGGCAGAAGGTATAAAAACGGTGGGACCGTACCACATGAATTTCATACCAGTTGCGGACTCTGCAATGGAACTATTGAAAAAAAAGATTAGAAGCTGTCGGATTGCGTTTCATGCAGCACAGTCTCCATAGCCAATGAATCTGAACACTACACTTGGAATTACAAGGACCTAAGATACAGGTCTTCATCGGAAAATACCATGTGCCTAGATGAACTGTGCTGATTTCATTTTAATTTCAATTTGAAGTTTTATGTTGATAACAGTTTCATTATGTCTCTGGTCTATATTTTATTTAGGATGATAACTTAACGGTCTATTTTACAATGAGGTGGATAGAGACAATACAATCCCACCAGTTCAAAAAGAAAACATTATGTAACTCTTTGAGTTACTGCCCTTAGTTCTGGTCATAGGACATGTAGATCTATCACACTTATACTTTAGGGGTAAAATGTAAACCACAATTTGTTCTGAAGAAGCCCAAATGTTCGTGCGAAACAGGTAGACTTAGCAATAAAGTTATCACACTGAAGATCATAAGTGTGTTGCGATTGACTACAACCCCTTCTTTAAGTCTCAATATCTAGCACCTAAGTTGTCCAGTACAGTAGGAAATTATACAGACCAATCATCTAAGATCTAAAAGTCAATCTCATACATCTTTATACCTGGACAATCCTTGTATTGAGGACAAATGAAATAAATTGTGGATATGAGATATTCTTTACCAAAATATGAAGTAATTACAAAGTATATGAATTCAATGAAGATTTAAGAGATTAACAACTCATATTTCTTACATTTCCATCGCCATACCATTGGCTACCATTTTTGTTTCTCTCTTCTCATATTGTTTTTGCTTTTTCAATGAGCTGTTGCAAATTATACTTATTTTATGCCAACAATCCGTATGATTATAAAATTCAACCCAAATTAGTACCAGAATAATTACAAATACATTTAAAACTTCCGTTAATGGCTGATTGGGCAAAGGGCCTTACATAAAATTGGATCTAAGACAATCACACAATAGTGCATGATAATTATAAATGACTATAGTATTTAATATAATTCTATCTGATACAGAGTATTCCATGTTTAAAATAAGTATCTTGTCCACCTCAAATATTTCATATCACACAGGTAACACACTCCCCTTTCACAATGGCATCAGAGATTCGATTCCTTGAAAGGACATGAGAAAAGGTAGAATGGTCACCTGTCTGATCACACGCGCATTCCATGGATCCTCTGATTTACTCCCACAATGCACTTCCATCTGAGCCAACAAGAGTGATTAATATAAGTTGTAATAACTTGTTTCAAAATAGTTGTAAAATACATAAAGTTTACATATACAGTCATATCACGCTGTTTTCTCACTCTGTCATACAATATCATAAGTGATAATCTTCTAATTAAACATCTTTGTATTGCTACATAACAAAACTCATCTTCCATCTTTAACAACCTCTAACACCACAGGGACTTGGTACAAATCCTCAAACCTCAGGGGATACTTTTTACTAATAATACAAATACAGACCAGGGGTTTGGGGATTCGTGTCATGTTCCAGTGTACTACAATACAGAATACAGATATTTATATGAGAAATTGGGCGCTGATGTCTTACTGGTAAGGCAATTAGCTTTATTGATAAATATTTTTTCTTTTTCCTGACAAACAATTCAAAGTTTAAGAGACACAATAATGAAAGTAATATTTCACTTTAAATATAATGTATTTCATGAATATTACTTTATAGTGCTGGTTTCAAACAATCCTATACATTGTATGGTACCTTTATTTTGATTTGTGTTGTACACTTTGATAAATTATAATGACAATTTGATGCTATCAAATGGAAATATTTTCATTGTTTCTAGGGACATAGAATCACCCAGATTACTGGTATACAGCTGGGTCTAGTCTTGGTTTTTTGTCACTCTTTTTTTCAGTTTCCATGAACTAAAGTAAAAATTGCAATATTACAGTAGTAATTATGTGTTGGTACTTTATAGAGCTTTAACAAATGAGATGATAATTTATTTTTGACCCATTCCTGTATATTCCAACAGTCCTGACAGGACAGTGGTCTGGCTATACATGTACAGGTGAGGAATATGGGCCCAAATCTCATTACAGGTGAGGAATATGGGCCCAAATCTCATTACAGGTGAGGAATATGACAATGGGCCCAAATCTCATTACAGGTGAGGAATATGACAATGGGCCCAAATCTCATTACAGGTGAGGAATATGACAACGGGCCCAAATCTCATTACTACAAAAAAGACATAATGTATTTCTAAAATCTCACAAAAAAATTTGAGTCAAGATTTACTTGGTTTTGATAGGCTGGTTTACGCAAGCAATTAATATTTTGTTGTGGGTCTAACTTGTAAAATATTGACATCAATCAGCCTAGAGAGTGAACTGGATGTCCTAATATCAATACCAACATACCTGTACTAACGATATATCTCTAACTTTAAGAGAGAAAAAGAATGAGAAAAAAATAAAAAATCTTAAATAAGATACTGTACTGTATATAACAATGAAACATATAGACAATATGTTACATACAGAATGTATATAATAACATAGATATCACTCATTCTTATCAATTTGTGTCATTAACCATTGTAAACTAATTTGAAGTTACAACAAATCCACAAACAACTTTGCATCAGATTACTAATCACATGATTAATAAATGGGATAAAAGTCTAGCTTTCTACCACTGGATCATAAAGTCTAGCTTTCTACCACTGGATCATAAAGTCTAGCTTTCTACCACTGGATCATAAAGTCTAGCTTTCTACCACTGGATCATAAAGTCTAGCTTTCTACCACTGGATCATAAAGTCTAGCTTTCTACCACTGGATCATAAAGTCTAGCTTTCTACCACTGGATCATAAAGTCTAGCTTTCTACCACTGGATCATAAAGTCTAGCTTTCTACCACTGGATCATAAAGTCTAGCTTTCTACCACTGGATCATAAAGTCTAGCTTTCTACCACTGGATCATAAAGTCTAGCTTTCTACCACTGGATCATAAAGTCTAGCTTTCTACCACTGGATCATAAAGTCTAGCTTTCTACCACTGGATCATAAAGTCTAGCTTTCTACCACTGGATCATAAAGTCTAGCTTTCTACCACTGGATCATAAAGTCTAGCTTTCTACCACTGGATCATAAAGTCTAGCTTTCTACCACTGGATCATAAAGTCTAGCTTTCTACCACTGGATCATAAAGTCTAGCTTTCTGCCACTGGATCATAAAGTCTAGCTTTCTACCACTGGATCATAAAGTCTAGCTTTCTACCACTGGATCATAAAGTCTAGCTTTCTACCACTGGATCATAAAGTCTAGCTTTCTACCACTGGATCATAAAGTCTAGCTTTCTACCACTGGATCATAAAGTCTAGCTTTCTGCCACTGGATCATAAAGTCTAGCTTTCTACCACTGGATCATAAAGTCTAGCTTTCTACCACTGGATCATAAAGTCTAGCTTTCTACCACTGGATCATAAAGTCTAGCTTTCTACCACTGGATCATAAAGTCTAGCTTTCTACCACTGGATCATAAAGTCTAGCTTTCTACCACTGGATCATAAAGTCTAGCTTTCTACCACTGGATCATAAAGTCTAGCTTTCTGCCACTGGATCATAAAGTCTAGCTTTCTGCCACTGGATCATAAAGTCTTGCTTTCTATCACTGGATCATAAAGTCTAGCTTTCTACCACTGGATCATAAAGTCTAGCTTTCTACCACTGGATCATAAAGTCTAGCTTTCTGCCACTGGATCATAAAGTCTAGCTTTCTATCACTGGATCATAAAGTCTAGCTTTCTACCACTGGATCATAAAGTCTAGCTTTCTACCACTGGATCATAAAGTCTAGCTTTCTACCACTGGATCATAAAGTCTAGCTTTCTACCACTGGATCATAAAGTCTAGCTTTCTACCACTGGATCATAAAGTCTAGCTTTCTACCACTGGATCATAAAGTCTAGCTTTCTACCACTGGACCATAGAGTCTTGCTTTCTACCACTGGATCATAAAGTCTAGCTTTCTACCACTGGATCACAAAGAAGATGAAACATTATGAAGTACATGTACTTGCAACCTATCCAATAAGTTCAAAAGACAATAAATATTTCAGAATGTAACCATTCTAAATTTCAAAGGAAGACCTTTAATATGTTGAGGAATGTTAACTTAATCAGTGTCAAGCATAAAAAAAATTTTTGTTTTAATTAAAAAAAACTACTTACATCTTGTAAGCCTGATTTCCCATACTGCTAAATCTTATTTTAAACCTTGAGGCTGTCACAAAATTTTCCATAATTATAGTAAAACTGTAAACTCATTAATCTGGCAGGGCATTTATTTTACTTGATTTCATGGATACTCTTAATCCAGAAATTCCTATGTTAAAACAGTACAATATAAGTAGACATACCTTTATCCACAAAATTACGTGTCCACAAAAAAATGGGTTTTTTAATCTGTATAAAATTAAACCCCAAAAAATAGCTAAGTAATTTCACAGTACATGTACTTGACATTTTTACAAAAACAAAAAAAAAAGATAAAAAAGAAAAACCTGACAACCTGTGACCTGAATTTATAAACTGTTTTGACCAATTTTGCAAAATCTAATAAACCATATAATATTTTTTTGTTCTTTTTTTTTGTTTAAAGAATCCTCTTTCTTTTTTCCCCCCAGAGAGGAATTGAAGCAACACAGAACATTCTGTAATTATAACAAATGATAGATTTAAGTTTGTTCAGATTCTAAATGATTCTGAATAATCTACTCAGATTCGTTGTTTTCCTGCAACACAAAGTAGGGGATATGGAACTGGTTTACAGGGAAATCAGTTAGCCACTCTCCCCCAGGGTACTCCATCCCATGCATAGGGTCCAGCCAACTGCCCTTTGGCAGGTAAATGTTTCTTTTCCTGACTCCAGAACACAACACAGGGGCCACCAAGACCTTGTCTCCTAAAAGGAACTCATCTCCTATGCTGAATGTATCTTTATCCATTGGATCCAACCACCAAATGGGTCGGAGGAATGGGATTACCTCTGTTACCTGTGTTCGTAACTGTTCCAGGATTGGTACAACAAATTCTTGTCTAAATTGAGAGAGATTTTGAGCATATGTGATAACATCTTCTCTGAAGAATTGTATGTCTGATGGAATTTTTATTGCTGGGAAGAAGACCGATAATTGAAGCCACCTAATAAAGGAATCAGTTGTGTCATTGTTTAAATTGATATTGCCTTTAGCAGAAGATAAGACATATGGGTAGCCATAAAGACCCAAAGTCAGTGCTTCAGACAGCGTTTCTGTAACACAGCTTGCATTGTTTTCATTCATCACAAAGTCAACCGACACTTCTAGGAATGCATGTTTATCTTGCGATCTGAACATTCCCTTTGTGACAAGTTTTTCACTCACAATGTTCAACAAATCAATCCACTTTCCGTAAACTGCTTCGTCTAACAGATCAGAACCATTGGAATGTCTCACAAGAAACATCTGAGGTAATGGAGAAAATTTGAAATTTCTCACACCATATGTTGTAGAAATATTTGAAATTGCATCAGAGAACCAGGCCGAGAATTCATCATTGTTGATGTCCCAGACGGCCACCTGAGTATTACTGTGTGTGAGCACTTTTGCACCCAATGATAACGTGTCAATCAAAAAGTAATTGTTCTTTATTCCAATACTGAAAGAAGGTGAATTCAAAGAGCAGAGTGGACTGAGATTCAACATAAAATCACAAGATGTGGAAAGCAAAGACATAGCTGAACTAAAATCTGGAGATATTGATTTATCAAATTTAAGATCACCTAGGTCCTCTTGCCAATGGGATTCCAGTTCCAAAACATTACATTCAAAATTTGATGAATCAAGAAAGTTTTTAAAAGTCCGGAGTTGATCACCATAAGAGTCTTGCGAGTCTTTTATTTCAGCTGACCACAGGAAGTTATCTGTATACTTGACCTGGTCAGATAGATTACGTTGTGCCTCCAGGTGGAACCTCTTACTCACTGCCAAATGTGTGGCTTTAACATCATAACCCTGACAGGTAAAATAATTGAGATTCTTTCTCTCCTCCATCCCATTCAGTGCAGGAGATATACACATCTTCTGACTGCTACTTTCATTCCAGCTGAACTGATATGGCCCATTTCCTGGAAGGTAAATGGCAGTACCTTCCGATGAAAGAAAGTAATATTCTACAATATCCATGCCATTCTCTTCATTATGGCCAAACCTACTAAGTGCCATTTTCCTGTGTGCAGTGATTGGCCAAGGTCCAGGCAGCATGTTATACCAATGACCAGTGTCCATTTCATAGCAGTCCTGTGGGTACACATTTACAGGGTTCACCCAGGACACATTATAGCATACTATATCATCAATACTAAACGGTGTTATGTCAACCATGTTGCCATCATCCCACGATATGCATCGTCCCTTTTTGTTTTTATCACGATCGGGACATTTTTCCGTATTACGTCCCATGAATATGTCTCCACCTAAGTGTCCTGTTATGGTCACTTCTTCTAAACGTTTACCAACCAATGTCAAAAACTCTCCATCAATTTCAAATTGAAGATCAGAGTAGTCTTTTCCACTTGCATCATGAAGACTCCAAATGACTATGACTCCAACAGCCATTAATATGAACATGCTGGTGACTATCACCTTCAGAATCCTCCTCTTTATGTTGGACTTCTTGCCATCATTTGGAGGTTCCTACAAAACACAAAATAGTCATTATTATAGTTATACACAGTTACTCAGAAGGCATGAAAGAAAGGAGCTGTAATTTGTCAAGATACTTGCAACACCAAGTTATGAATTTTTTTTTTTTTTCAAAAAATAAATAATAGTGAATGTTGAGTGTTTATCAATCAAATGCATTTAATACTGGTACTTATCTACCCTGTGCCTGGTAATAAGCCCATCCATATCTCTCCCAATACTGTACCTACAAAGGTTACTGCAGTGTTCTGTAATAGGCCCATCCCTTGACTTTGAGTAATGTTTTAGCTCCTTAGACTTATTGCTTGATTAACACTTATGATTTTTTTGTCTAAGTTAAATCCTGGACTCCTACACTTGACATCAGCTATTTTGTAGTTACAGGATTCTGATATACCTCAATTGTGATCTAATATACACCGGGTCAGACTAGGCCATATTGTTATAAAATAGCAATCCCGCAGCAAATACATCAGGATACATATATATGTATATAATTACAGCATATTTAAACATCGGAGTTGTGGACATGTTTAAACCCAATGTAAAGAACATAACTCAGAGTATTCACAAAAAAAGTCCAACTTTAGGCCATGTTCCATATATCATTGTCTTTTTTTCTGATGAAACAGCAAGATTGATCAGATTTATTAAGAAAGATCCTGATTTCCGTTTCTTTACACATAGCATGTGCAGGTGTATCTTCATTTTTTAACGTTTCCTTGTTACACCTAGGGTGGGGACTTCAGTATTCCCAGCCATATCAATTTTATAACATCACAGCAATAATTCAATGACATCAAATTAGATTACAGCAACAACGACCAGCAGGATAAAGAAAATTATCGTTTGAGGTCAGATATGGGATCTAAATTGTGAGGGAAAGATTATCAAGTTGCTAAACACTTAACAATCCTTATGTTTTTCAATATAAGATTCATTCCCCTTGGGCTGAGATCTTAGTTCTCAGTGGGTAACAAGTCACTATTGATTGTATGAAATGTTTAAAATCAAGTCAAAACCATTACTAAACAATTATGAACTCTCAAGAGATGAAGTGACAGTAGACATTGTACTTACTTTAGCCATTTTTCCAGAAACTGGTACTCCTATGAACAAGACTTTTTAAGGCTGTCACATGGTAAACAGTATAGTGTAGGTTGTTGAACTATTCCATCAAACTTAACACCACTACTGACCCAAGTTATATACTACATGCCTCAGGCGACTGTATTTTCACAGGCATTAAATACATCTGTGTTTATTTACCTTACACATGTAGGTTGATAAAGTTTTGAAATGCACATACTTCATATCATTATCTTTTTTTTTTTAAGTAAATAGAAATAAAAAACAAATTCACTCCTAAAACAATGTCAATGCTAGTGTTAAGAGTTCACCAATACAACACCAACAATATTTTATGATTTTATCCCTACAACACAATCAACACTAGTGTTAGAGGTTTCATTCCCTAGACACTGTAAACACAAGTGTTAGATGTTTCATCCCTACAACACTGTAAACACTAGTGTTAGATACTTCATCCCTACAACACTGTAAACACAAGTATTGGATACTTCATCCCTACAACACTGTAAACACTAGTGTTAGATACTTCATCCCTACAACACTGTAAACACTAGTGTTAGATACTTCATCCCTACAACACTGTAAACACAAGTGTTAGATACTTCATCCCTACAACACTGTAAACACAAGTATTAGATACTTCATCCCTACAACACTGTAAACACTAGTGTTAGATGTTTCATCCCTACAACACTGTAAACACTAGTGTTAGATGTTTCATCCCTACAACATCCCTACAACACTGTAAACACTAGTGTTAGATACTTCATCCCTACAACACTGTAAACACTAGTGTTTGATACTTCATCCCTACAACACTGTAAACACTTGTTAGATATTCATCCCTACAACACTGTAAACACTAGTGTTAGATGTTTCATCCCTACAACACTGTAAACACTAGTGTTAATACTTCATCCCTACAACACTGTAAACACTAGTGTTAGATAATTCATCCCTACAACACTGTAAACACAAGTGTTAGATACTTCATCCCTACAACACTGTAAACACTAGTGTTAGATACTTCATCCCTACAACACTGTAAACACTAGTGTTAGATGTTTCATCCCTACAACACTGTAAACACTAGTGTTAGATACTTCATCCCTACAACACTGTAAACACTAGTGTTAGATACTTCATCCCTACAACACTGTAAACACTAGTGTTAGATACTTCATCCCTACAACACTGTAAACACTAGTGTTAGATACTTCATCCCTACAACACTGTAAACACAAGTGTTAGATACTTCATCCCTACAACACTGTAAACACTAGTGTTAGATGTTTCATCCCTACAACACTGTAAACACTAGTGTTAGATGTTTCATCCCTACAACACTGTAAACACTAGTGTTAGATACTTCATCCCTACAACACTGTAAACACTAGTGTTAGATACTTCATCCCTACAACACTGTAAACACTAGTGTTAGATACTTCATCCCTACAACACTGTAAACACAAGTGTTAGATACTTCATCCCTACAACACTGTAAACACTAGTGTTAGATACTTCATCCCTACAACACTGTAAACACTAGTGTTAGATGTTTCATCCCTACAACACTGTAAACACTAGTGTTAGATACTTCATCCCTACAACACTGTAAACACTAGTGTTAGATGTTTCATCCCTACAACACTGTAAACACTAGTGTTAGATGTTTCATCCCTACAACACTGTAAACACTAGTGTTAGATGTTTCATCCCTACAACACTGTAAACACTAGTGTTAGATGTTTCATCCCTACAACACTGTAAACACTAGTGTTAGATACTTCATCCCTACAACACTGTAAACACTAGTGTTAGATACTTCATCCCTACAACACTGTAAACACTAGTGTTAGATGTTCCCTACACTCCATCTACAACACTGTAAACACTAGTGTTAGATGTTTCATCCCTACAACACTGTAAACACTAGTGTTAGATACTTCATCCCTACAACACTGTAAACACTAGTGTTAGATGTTTCATCCCTACAACACTGTAAACACTAGTGTTAGATGTTTCATCCCTACAACACTGTAAACACTACACTGTAAACACTAGTGTTAGATGTTTCATCCCTACAACACTGTAAACACTAGTGTTAGATGTTTCATCCCTACAACACTGTAAACACTAGTGTTAGATACTTCATCCCTACAACACTGTAAACACTAGTGTTAGATGTTTCATCCCTACAACACTGTAAACACTAGTGTTAGATGTTTCATCCCTACAACACTGTAAACACTAGTGTTAGATGTTTCATCCCTACAACACTGTAAACACTAGTAAACACTAGTTAGATGTTTCATCCCTACAACACTGTAAACACAAGTGTTAGATACTTCATCCCTACAACACTGTAAACACTAGTGTTAGATACTTCATCCCTACAACACTGTAAACACTAGTGTTAGATACTTCATCCCTACAACACTGTAAACACTAGTGTTAGATGTTTCATCCCTACAACACTGTAAACACTAGTGTTAGATACTTCATCCCTACAACACTGTAAACACTAGTGTTAGATGTTTCATCCCTACAACACTGTAAACACTAGTGTTAGATGTTTCATCCCTACAACACTGTAAACACTAGTGTTAGATGTTTCATCCCTACAACACTGTAAACACTAGTGTTAGATGTTTCATCCCTACAACACTGTAAACACTAGTGTTAGATGTTTCATCCCTACAACACTGTAAACACTAGTGTTAGATACTTCATCCCTACAACACTGTAAACACTAGTGTTAGATACTTCATCCCTACAACACTGTAAACACTAGTGTTAGATACTTCATCCCTACAACACTGTAAACACAAGTGTTAGATACTTCATCCCTACAACACTGTAAACACTAGTGTTAGATACTTCATCCCTACAACACTGTAAACACTAGTGTTAGATGTTTCATCCCTACAACACTGTAAACACTAGTGTTAGATGTTTCATCCCTACAACACTGTAAACACTAGTGTTAGATACTTCATCCCTACAACACTGTAAACACTAGTGTTAGATACTTCACCCCTACAACACTGTAAACACTAGTGTTAGATGTTTCATCCCTACAACACTGTAAACACTAGTGTTAGATGTTTCACCCCTACAACACCATCAAAAGTTTTATATGATTTCATCCTTACAGCATCATTAACACTAGTTTTAGAGGTTTCAAGCCTTTTCTTAACCTACTCTAGACCTGTTAGCATTTTAATGACTCCAATCATACACTCTCATTTAAAAGTTGATGATCTTCATGCCAGATTGCAGCAAACAGCAAACACCAAGGAACTTTTAACTTCTACCACCACTTTCAACATTAAAGCAAGTAAAAACACTGGGTAAATGAGTTACAACCATTTTAGGATGAACAGAAGGACAAACTGGCAGACAGACACAACAAAAAACTATAGCCCCCACCTCCCACCCCTACCTACACCCTGTGGAGGACTATCAAAGACTCCTAACCAGTACAGACACAACAAAAACTATAGCCCCCACCTCCCACCCATACCTACACCCTGTGGAGGACTATCAAAGACTCCTAACCAGTACAGACACAACAGAAACTATAGCCCCCACCTCCCACCCCCACCTACACCCTGTGGAGGACTATCAAAGACTCCTAACCAGTACAGACACAACAAAAACTATAGCCCCCACCTCCCATCCCCACCTACACCCTGTGGAGGACTATCAAAGACTCCTAACCAGTACAGACACAACAAAAACTATAGCCCCCACCTCCCACCCCCACCTACACCCTGTGGAGGACTATCAAAGACTCCTAACCAGTACAGACACAACAAAAACTATAGCCCCCACCTCCCACCCCTACCTACACCCTGTGGAGGACTATCAAAGACTCCTAACCAGTACAGACACAA